ATATATAGGAGGGGGTTAAAAATACATTGTTTGAAACTTTCATGCAAATAAGACAAGTATGACTATGACTATCTGTTAGAGTTCACTGCACATCTACAGTTTTAAAAGACAATTCAAGAATCTTTATGCGAGTCAGTCCAAATCTTAATAAACCCATAAATAAATAATATTGAGAATTTATACTTACAGACATTTTCAGATCCGCTAGGATTTTTTTTGTCCAAATAAAACTGTGAAATCTCAGTTTGAGCAACAGATTCACCTGTCTTTTCTGGTCTGATGAGCCTGGTGGTGTTCTGTTGTTCTGGAGGAGGAGGGCGAGTTTTCTGTTCAGAGGAGGAGGAGCAACTGACAGACTCAAAATACAAAACAGGGAGCAAAACTCATTGACACAACAGAAAAAAAACCAAAAAACAAATGTTTAATAAGAAATTCATATTTTTTAGGGGGGAAATTGTCATTTTTGAATTTCATGACAGCAACTTGTCTTAAAAAGTGTAGACAGAAATATGTTTACCGCTGGGTCTGCTTTGCTTACCTTTTTTTTTTTTTTTGAGTTGAACTTGTTTTGTTCTAAAAACGTGTAACTTTCTGCCGTGATTGTGCTTTTCCAGATGTGTAAGCAGTACTAATGCACCTCTATACCAACAGAGAAGGCTTTTGAATAAAAACAATGTTGTCTTATATTTCCAAAGAAATTAGCACATTTATTTATTTATTTATTCATTTATTTGTTTATTTAGTGTAAACATGATGTTTACTATGTTTAGTGGTGGATTTGTAAGATGTACCAACTTTTTTCAGAATTAGGGTGTTTCTTTTAGTGTAGCTAGCCCAAGCTTAGCTAGAACTCTATTGTTGTCCTCCAAGACTTGTTTTATTTATGCATTTCCAGTTATTTTAAGAGTTCAGCGTCAACGCATGTCAAAGAGAAATGTGTCATTGTACTTATTCAATATAATGTGTTCATTTTTTTTGTTTCGTAAACAGAATCCACAAAAGGCAGCAAATATGTAAATGTCGTAGCCTATGTTAAACTGTGTTTCTAAAACTGTACTAAATCTGTATTTAAAACATTTTGTTATCAAAAATACATCAGTTTAGAGTTTAAGTTAAATAAGTGTGTGAGTTGGATAACATGTCAAACTTTATATATACATTTTAAATGGGCCTTTTTATGGAAATTTTATAAACCATTTATTAAAAATGTTCTGTGAATTACAATTTTTAAAAATAAAACAATGTAGCCCAGTTATAGCTAAACTTACCATTATAATAATAATTATAATATAAATTTTACAATAACTCCAGTAGACTTAAAATGTTGTTGGTTTTTCATCTTAAATCAAAAGACAACTTCATCCTGCTGACGTTTCTGATTATGTCTCATTTCCGGTCTCAGAAACACACAACGACACCCTATAGAAGTATTGCTGGAAGGAAAACAAGTTCGTGTAGCAAACAATCAAATCATGTCTGGTATTCCGGCTAGCGACAGGCATCAAAACGAGCACACCCAACTGAGCGGAAGCAGACTTCTGGAGCCACGACGACAGAGAAGAGTGACAGTTTATTCGACCAACCAGCAGCTCGCAACAAGTCACGTGCCGGTCTCCGGAACGGGCGGGAGGGATATCCGCACAAGTAAGCTAAAAGCTAAATAACATGGCGAAGACTTACGATTACTTGTTTAAACTACTTTTAATCGGCGATTCGGGCGTCGGAAAGACCTGCGTGCTTTTCAGATTTTCAGAAGATGCCTTTAACTCAACGTTTATCTCCACTATAGGTGAGTGGAAGTCCCATTTTTTACTGTTGCTCTGGTAGAAAAGCGGTACCGGAGCAGCCCAGCCCGTGATGCTGCTGTTCATCTGGTCCTAATGGCGAGTCAGGAAATGCACAACCGGCTTGTAAGAAAGGTCTTCAGAAACCGCAACTCGCATTTTACGTGGCATAAGTACTTTACAATAACATAATGTATGTGTTTTAAAACATTCTGTAGTGATTTCATTTGTTAAAACGACACTAACGTTGGTAAGTTGAAGCGCTAAGCTAGTTTTAAGTTAGTTGGCGGTGTCATTTCCTTTATAACCAGTCGGCCTGCACTTCTCATTAGGCAACATGTCTTTACCACAAACACCATCTACATTCTCCTAAATGTAACTGTAAATGTAATTGTCATTGAGCTGCCTATTTCTGTCAGTTTTAGTTGTTTTCAGAAAACTAATAAACGGTGCAACATTTGTTTTTCTTTAGGTATTGACTTCAAAATCAGAACAATAGAATTAGACGGGAAGAAGATCAAGCTACAAATATGGTAAGAAGTATTTTTGTGACATGAAGCTAAAACATCATCCTGTTTCCTCACTTAATAAGGTAAACACAATGTGAGGACTTGGTTATCTGAGTGTGTGTGTTCTTGTAGGGACACAGCTGGACAGGAGAGGTTCAGGACCATCACAACAGCCTACTACAGAGGAGCTATGGTGAGCTGCTCCGCTCAACTTTACAAACAGTCAAATAACATGGATTATTTCTCAAAACTAGATATGTAAAGTGTCGTTCATCTCAACTGACATCCCCGCATGTTACATCTTTACAAAAGCCACACCTTATCGTTGTAATTGATGATAATTCTTTACACACCTTTTAAAATCATAAGCATGGTAAGTCTATTATTGTGGTGTTTTTCTTAGCCCCTCCTACAGTTCAAGTTTAACTGCATGCCTGGTTTTGTTTGGACTCAAATAACCTGCTTGAAGCCCTTAAATGTAAAGTGTTCATACAATTTCTCAAAGTCAAATTCTCTCATCTTGCTGAACTCTCCAGGGCATCATGTTAGTATATGACATTACCAACGAGAAGTCCTTTGACAACATCAAGAACTGGATAAGGAATATAGAAGAGGTACAACTTACAGTTATTGGTTGTGATTTTGTGGGGGAGAAACTTGATTACACATACTTTACTGTGCATCTTTTCTGCAGCACGCCTCGGCAGATGTAGAGAGGATGGTCCTCGGGAATAAATGTGATGTGAATGATAAGCGACAGGTGTCTAAAGATAGAGGAGAGAAAGTAAGCTTTATAATCCCATGCTCAAGCATTATTATTAGTTGTTTTTTTAAATATATTTGCCCTGCATTGATTCTGATTTCTGTTTCTATCTCACTGTCAGCTGGCATTGGAGTATGGTATCAAGTTCATGGAGACGAGTGCAAAAGCAAACATCAATGTGGAGAATGTGAGTTTGCACTTTTTTCTGCAAAATGTTCATAAATTTGTCATGGAGTAGTGTTTCTAGATTTAACTCTTTAAAAAAAAAGCAGTGAGGTTATTCCATATTTTACAGTTTCATGCAAGTCAGTATAATGAGAAAACTTGAGTGATATCACTTGCTTATGTCAGGATGTGGTCGACATGATGTCCTTTTCATTAATCTGACACCATCTGAATTTGATGCCTTCATGCCTGAAGGAAGCCTCCTCTTACTGATTACAAATACAGTAGATGAAGACGAAATAAGAATTTGTGCTGAAGTTACACTTTAATTCTCTGTATGATGACTGTTCTATAGAACAGTGGTTCCCAAAGTTGGGGTCGGGACCCAAAGTGGGGTCCTGAAACATCAAGGTGGAGTCCTGAAAAGACTTTTTAAATTAATTACATTTTTGCCTTAGTTGCCTAAAACGTATAAATGTAGAATAATAAATACTGTTACTATGCCCATGTTTAGTTGACCTGATACAAATGTTTATCATCCAAAAATAGCTGGGGACACAGGTCTCTGCTGCTGTTATTTTGTGGGTCAAAAGCTGAAAAGTTTGGGAACCACTGCACTTCAGAAATCAATTTAAAGGGTAATAAAAATTGGTGATGTAATATTTTCCCTATAATTATTACAAAAACACAAAACAAGTATAAATAAGTATATTTGTGTAACCTTTGTTTTTAGGGTTATTAACAAAGTTTGTGTACTCAAGACCAGTGACATTTGGAGTCACAAGTTTTTGCCATAAATATTTTGTGGGTCAGAAGATAAAAAGTTTGGGAACCACTGCTATAGAATGTAGTAAATTTAAAGTAAATAAAAAATAAAACCTAGGTATGCTGTTGCTCTTGTAAGCAAAGAGATGGATCAAACTTCCCGCAAGCATCTAGAATGGAGAAAAAACAAAACTGTTTGTGTATGTAACACTTAGTGTCACAACTGCCTTCAGATCCAACCTCAAACCTACTGTCTTATCATTTATCTACAGTGAGGCTTAATATAATCTGTGACCAACAGGTGGAGAAAACAGGAAGTCTCATTTATATCTTTCATATCTGCTGCCTCAGGCAGAGAAACAAAACCTTTGCCCCTAGAAACACAGTTCTTATAGTTTCACTTACGTGGCAATCAACTGTGTTTTAATTTATTTATTTGTTCCCCCAACTTAAATAGTGAAAGTGTACCACTTCTTCCAGTATAACTTTGTCCCCCCACACCCTAATTAAATAGTTAACTTTTTAAACTATATACTGTAGAATAGAATGCCTTTGTCACTATACGCTTGCACTGAGATTAAAAGCCACTCTTTTTCCAGTGCAAACGTACATAAAATATAAAAACGGAAAATGAACACTATAACACTATGAGGAATAAACTAAGAAAAAAATAGATGATTAAAAAAATTACGTAGAAGCAATAGAATTGTCTTGAAGAAAATAATTGGTATAAACTTTAATTGTTCACCTAAACCTCAGTGAAGATGATTAATTCAGCTTTCAAGGTTCATTTCAAAGTTTTTGTTTATTTACTTAAATTTTATTTATTATTATTATTATTATTATTATTATTGTTATTATTATTATTATTATTATTATTATTACTATTACTACTACTGACTTTTACAGCCTTTCGTTGTCCCGGTCCAAACTTTGACACATTTTGCTGCCATAAAATTCCATTTATTTAATTAATGTGACTTCTTGGGGGTAAACATTGGATATGTTTACTGTGTTCCATTGTACACAAGATATGGGTTTATGGGATTTTGCAAGTCATTGCTTTCTTATTTACATTTTACATAATAACCCGACTTTTTCAGATTTATAGTTGTAAATAAGGAAACAAGACAAGTGAACATAATGACAGTTTTTAAAATCAGTGTATCAACAATTTCCAGCTTTTAAAACAATTTGTAATTAGTTATGTGTTTTAGTAAAATTTTCTTCACTATGATATTTAAAGTTAAGACTGAAATATTAGTTTAGCCTCTTGAGCCCCATGCTTTTTCCATTTATATTGCTTTTAACTTCTTTTTACTTGATGTGTCAGTTGAACCTGGACATGTTTGGTATCAATAGAAAGCTAAGCATCTTGGCTAAAAGCTCATGGAAATTATTTTTACATTAACCAAACACAGTTCAAACGTTAAGCAGTTGAATCAGACAGTAAACAAACTGTACAAAATGTCATCATTGAAAATCTGTAAATACATTAAAACAAGAAAAGAAGACATTTTTGAAATTATTTTTTTTAAAACACGTCAAAGTAGATACCTAAATATGGTGTAAAGTGTGTTGAAAGGTTTTTTTTTTCACTTGATTTTGAATGAATACGATCCAACTGAAGTCAAATATAATTTCTCATTTTCTATAATATACAGTATACAGTATATATATGGTGACAAATAAATTGGATAATTTTTTAAAAGAACAAACATTCAATAACAAATCTTTTAAGGCAGGTAAGAAAAACTAAATAACTTGGACATAAAAATTTAAGATTTCTTAACATTTATTACTGGTACCTACCTGGTACTGTCTGTCCTGTGCAGAATGACAAAATGCAAAATTATTTCTTTACTAAAACCGGTGTAACTTTGTTCCAGTTAATTTTAGCAGCATGAATYTTKGCACAGGTAATGTCCACAAGTGAATTTATGGTTTCCAAGAGTTTTTAGCCAACTTCATTATGGTTTTAAATAGGTTATATACTGTCTAATGCAAAAATAAATAAATAAATAAATAAAATTCAGCTGCGTGAAAAAAATATTTAAAAATATGTTTCATCCCCAATATCTCTAAAACCACAGCAGCTGTTTTAATACTTACACCTCTGATGAAATCTCCCAAGTGTTAGCTTCATTTTGATACCAAGATTATTTAAATAGCTTTTGTAAATGCTGAGACACACTCAATTACATTTCAGCATGGTATTTTGAGAAAAAAAAAACTTCAAGAAAACCCCTTGGGGCTTAAGAGGTTAATTACATGCATTGGCATTAATATTACATTTAGTTTAAGTACAGTGTCAACTAAAATGCTGAAGTCTGATTGTTTCATAGTTTATTAATACTTCTAAATGATTTGGGCTTATTGAGCACAGTTTTACTTCTCTGCTATTTTTTTGTCCCTAGTAGACCTATTTTTTACAGTAATCACAAAGGCTTTGATTCAAGTAAGGCATCAACTAATGTCTTATTTTTATCTGCAGGCCTTCTTAACCCTCGCCAGAGACATCAAAGCAAAGATGGACAAGAAACTGGTAAGGCTGCCAAGAGGAAACGCTGGTTGTTTCCTGACATTCATTTGAAGTGCCTGTGACATGACTGTGATTCAAATACAAAGTCATAGAAAACATCTTTTGTATTTAAGAAACCTGGCATATTACACATGATTTTACCCATTTTGTCACATAACTGGCAGATTTTCTTTTGAATTGAGCTCAGCCAAAGTGAAACAGGAAGTGACATCAAAGGGGAACTCTTTAAGAAAGAAAATTCCCTTTTGTTTTATTTATTGAGAATTTTTGATAGTGACTCAAGATACATCAGAATCACCAGATTCTTCTCTACAATCTGTGTCGGCCATTGCAGCAACACATCATTCACATTCAGACATTCCCCTTTGACATCACTTCCTGTTACTTCACGTACAAACATCTCAACATCTGTTCATCTCAGCAGCATGAACTTTCTTTTTCAATGTTATCGGTGTTATTTTTCCAAAAATGCATTCCTATTCATTACAAAAATTTGATGTCACAGACGCTTTAAAGTTGTGCTCGTAACTCTTTCTTTTTTTTTTATTATTGTTGTTGATTTTCTCCATTGAACAGTTGCTTATTTCTGTATTTTAGGAGGGTAATAACCCACAGAGCAACACTCAGGCAGTGAAGATTTCAGAACAGCCCAAGAAGAACTTCTTCCGCTGCACACTTCTGTGATTTAAAACAGGAGCGTCGGCATCCACCATCGCCTTAACTTGTGTCCCCCACTGGACCGAACTGGACAGAGCACACTCTGATATCTGTTTTATTCCTCCTCCCCTTGTCTTCCTCCTTCTGGTATTTGACCTGTGAATAATTAGGAAAAAAGAAAAAAAAAACGTTTATACCCCCTCTCAGAATTCTATCAGTCTTCCTTTGACACCTGTGGATCTAACAGCTGTGGCCTCTGTTACTCACTGACAGTTTCAACTTGAATCCTGAAATTTTTATCAACTTTCAGCGTCGGTCTCCTGGTGAGACGCCGAGGACGATCAAAACTTTTTTGTTTTTTCTACCCACGACGTGAAGCTTGTCATTTACTTTTGCAGACTGCTGATGATGAAGTCTTATTTATTTAATTCTTTTCTAGCCTTCAAACCCCCCCCCCCCAAATTCTGCTACAAGTTTGCACTTAGATTGGATTTTTGGTTTGCATCCACGCCATGTAAATACATCCAATTTGTGTTTTTCACCACACGAGAAAGTGATGCCAGTATATTTGTCGTACTCACAGCGAATTCTCACGTCCTTTTCATGGCTTCTTCCTTTTTCTGTTGATTTTTGTTAGGTCGGTTGAAAACGTTTCATTCTTCCAAACACTTTGATGTGCAATGTGATGTTTGTGGAGCCTGTGGTTTGTCTTAAAGTATTCAGGTGGTTGCAGGAAGGCTGATGTTTAAAGGCACAACACATTCCTTCAGCAGAATCTAAGGAGCGCTTGTGGAAGATTAAGAAGTGGTATTTAAATCCTGGAGGAATTCAGTTTGATGGAAGGAATCTCAGCGATGATGAAATAACTGTTTTATTCGTTCGTACTTGATCTGGTTCCACTGGAGGAACATACACACCTGTTTTCAGGGCCTTGGATTGGGGCTGTGCTTCATCAGTATTTATGGAGTTAAACGGGGCGTAACACCAAAATGACAAAGTGCCCTTTTATGTTCTTACTGATTTTGCACTTTTCCTCCCTCTTCTCCTTGTTTTTTTTTTCTTTTTTGTATTTTTCTGTTTATGAAACAAAGTTCTTAACATATTATTGTTTGTTCCAAGTAGCACAAAAATTAGTGACGACAAAAAAAAATCCTGAAAACATCCAAGCTGTGAGATTTCAGGTTTTGGTTTGCGTATCAAACATGCCTAGAGAACTTTAGTCTAATCAAACCTTTCCCGTTTATTGGTTAAACTGGCTGCTTTTAGGTTTAGCTTTGCCAGTGATGATTTTGAAGACCATAGCCAGCTTCTCTCCCACCCATTTCCAAATGTTTTTTTTTGTCAGGCCCAGTTTAACCCCTGTCTGAACTATGCATTCTGGGTGCATGGAAAACCTCAAACGCTTTGCACAATGTGATTTAACGTGCTTTATTTGAGATTAGAAGTGTGCAGCTTGTTGCTGCCACTCAACTTTTGCAACAAGCTTTTCAGAAGTTAACGATAGGAAATGCGTAAAACAACAAATCTGGTTAGAGTTGATTGTGTTTTTCTTGGTGCGTAAATTTGTCACAATGGTAAAAACGTTAACGAATCATACCTGTAACTTCGTGTTATATCTTGTGGACCAGGGGTCTTGACATTCTCTCTAGTTCAGATTTTAAGACTTGTGTGACATTTGGAAATAGACCCATCCTCATTCCATGTAAATCTGGCATTAATTGTTCGTTTATCTTAAAGCATTCCTTAAAACCCCGATCAGATTCCCTCAGAGATTAATAATGGACTTCATGTGGAATAACTAAAATTTTTCAGCAATTGTAAATAAGATCTACAATGATTGTACTGTAGTTTCATAAATCCTATTGATCTACACTTCGTAGATATGTGTACTTCTGATTTATTAAAAAGAGTCTTTAAAATGTACTTTGTCCCTTTTAGTACTTAGTTCTTTTTAAGTACTCTTAGTAGACGCTGTACAAATCTTTCCTCTGTTTTGTGATAATCTACATGGATTAACAATTATGATAGCATTGTCTAAAGTTTGAAGGTCAGCACAGCTTTTCATTATAAACTGTTTTGCGAAACGAGTCTTATCCAGAACGAGCACAGAGCAGTGTATTTTAAAAAAAAAGTTGATTTGTGTTTGGATTTTGATCTTTTGATCTGAAGTAGTCGGTCTGCGTGATGTCTCTATGAACTTTGAGCTACAGTTTCCTAAAATTTTTCTTCATAAAATGAAGCGTATGTTACTTGTTAATCGTTGAGGAAAAGGCCGTTTGAACTATTTGACCTTTAAAGGGTGATCGACAGGGTTGTTCTCATTTCAGTTCAACACTGAATTTACCTACAAGTAAAAAATCAGACTGTTGAACGTTCTAAAAGGTTAAACTCTGGATTATTTCTTCCTGTTAATCTTATGTGATACACACTCTAAAGTACATTGTTATTTTTCAATTGTTGAAGCATATGTTAAAAATGTTACTTTCTGACACTTTTATTGGCTCTATATTCGCTTTAAAATATTGTCAAGTTGAAATATTTTTTGTATTTCATAATAAATTATAAGCCTAGCCTTCCTTGAATATTTATACCATCATGTCACAGATTGAGACTATAATTATAACAAATGGCAGTGCCATTTTAATCAAACTTCATGTGTAATACATAATATAATACGTAATGCAAGATGCTACTCTCTGCAGCATACAGTGGGGTGTGAAAGTATGGGCAGCCTTGTTAATTTTCCTGATTTACCTTTATAAATCATTGATTGGATAAAAAAACAGTTAAATAGTGGGGACAAACAGTGATATTAGAGAAGTGAAATGAAGTTTATATGATTTACTGAAAGTGTGCAACAATTGGTTAAACAAAATTAGACAGGTGCATAAATTTGGGCACTGTTATTTTATTGATTTTAAAACATTTAGAACTAATTATTGGAACTCAGATTTTGTTTGGTAAGTTCAGTGACCCTTGACCTCCATACGAAGGTGACTCCAATTATGAGAAAGGGCATTTAATGGAGGCAGTTGTAGGTTTTTCCCCTCTTTGCATCTTCTCTGAASATTCACAGCATGGGAGTCTCAAAACAACTTTCAAATGAGCTGAAAACAAAGATTGTTCACTGTCATGGTTTAGGGGAAGGATACTGAAAGCTATCTCAGAGATTTCAGCTTTCAGTCTCCACTGTGAGAAACATTGTGAGAAAATGGAAGACCACAGGCACAGTTCAAGTGTAGGCTCCAAGTGGCAGACAAAGAAAAATCTGGAATAAACAGAAGTGAAGGATGTTGAGAACAGTCAGAGTCAACCCACAGACCAGCACCAAAGACCTACAACATCATCTTGCTGCTGATGGAGTCACTGTGCATCGTTCAGCTATTCAGCACACTTTACACAAGGAGATGCTGAATGTGAGAGTGATGCAGAGGAAGACTTTTCTCCACCCACATCACAAACAGAGCTGCTTGAGGTATGCTAAAGCACATTAGGACAAGCCAGCTTCATTTTGAAATAAGGTGCTGTCGACTGATGAAACTAAAATAGAGTTATTTGGGCAGAACAAGGGCCGTTATGCATGGAGGAAAAAGATCACAGTAGTCCAAGAAAAACACCTGCTTCCTACAGTAAAACATGTTGGTGGTTCCATCATGCTGTTGGGCTGTGTGGCCAGTACAGGGACTGGGAATGTTGTTAAAGTTGAGGGACATATGGATTCCAACCAATATCAGCAGATTCTGGAGACCAATGTCCAGGAATCAGTGACAAAGCTGAGGCTGCTGAAGCCGGGGCTGCATCTTCCAACAAGACAACCACCCTAAACTCTGCTCAAAATCTACTAAGGCATTCATGCAGAGGAACAAGTTCAACGTTCTGGAATAGCCATCTCAGTCCCCAGACCTGAATATTATTGAAAATCTGTGGTGTCACTTAAAGAGAGCTGTCCATGCTCAGAAACCATCAAACCTGAATGAACTAGAGATGTTTTGTAAAGAAGAGTGGTCTAAAATACCTTCAGCCAAAATCCAGGCTCTCATTAGAAGCTGTAGGAAGTGTTTAGAGGCTGTTATTTCTGTGAAAGGAGGAGCTACTAAATATTGAGTTAAGGTTTTTTTTTTGGTGCCCAAATTTATGCACCTGCCTAATTTTGTTTAACCAATTATTGCACACTTTCTGTAAATCATAGGAACTTCATTTTACTTCTCAAATATCACTGTGTTTGTCCCCTATATGATTTATTTAACAGATTTTTTAAATCTAAACAATAAATGATTCATAAAGATATATCAGGAAAATTAACAAGGGTGCCCAAACTTTTGCACCCCACTGTAGGGGAAGACCCTCAGCTACTACCACACCAAATGTTAGCTCAACATCTGTAACTGAATCAAAACTTTTTTTTTAGTTAACCAAGGTTGGTTGGCTGTGGCGGCCAATGCAAAGTGAATTTTTTTCAAAAGTTAATCACTTGGCATCCACTGATTCTTAAAGTTTCATTAAAATCTGCTCTGTGGGTTTTGAGATATTTTGCTAACCTGGATGCAAGTGGAGTTTAAGTATCTGGGTGTCTTGTTCCTGAGTGATGGTAGGACGGAACAGGAGATGGATTGACGGATCGGGGCCTCGTCCTCAGTAAGGAGGGTGTTGCTTCGGTCAGTTGTGGTGAAGAAAGAGTTGAGTTGAAAGGCAAAGCTCTTGATGTACTGGTCAGCCTACTTTCTAACCCTCACCTATGGTCATGAGGTGTGGATCATGATGACCAAAAGAACAAGATCCCAAATTCAAGCAGCCAAAATATGCTTCCTTCATAGGGTGGCAAGGCTCAGGCTCAGAGATATGGGGAAGAGCCGCTGCTCCTCTGTATTGAAAACTAATGTGGTTCATCTGATTAGAGACGTTCTGGGCTCGCCCCACAGGAGACCCTGGAGAGGAAGACCCAGAGACTTTGAGTCCTCTCTGGTCTGGGAACGCCTCAGAGCCCCCCCCCCCCCCCCCCCCCAAAAAAAAAAAAAAAAAACAATGAGTTGAAATGTATTTCTGGGGAGAAAGATAACGGGGTATCTCTCTCCTGATGATGGATAAGCTGTAAAACATGGAGGCAGTGTTGGAGATCAGCCTCAACTATCACCACCAAATTTGAGCCTTTAGCTATAAGTTATTGCCATATTTTTTTAATAGTTTACAGTGGCGGCCCTTTTGATTCAGGTCAACTCCAAAAATGAATCAGTTGTAGAAGTACATGCAAAAACTTTACTGTAAGCCTTTGGTAATAAACATTTGATTATTAGCTCCTAAGATGTATTTGATAACTCAGCTGTCTGGTTTCGTAACGTTACGGTTTTGTGTTGCAAATGAATCAGCTCCTCTGCTGAGTGCCTCACTTTCATTTCTGCTCCACAATATGCAAATAATGCAGCATGTGACTCTGAGGTTGGTGTTGGCCACTTTGAATGAACACATGGAAGGAATTTTCAGACACACAACTTAGTTTTTATTAAGGTTGCAATGAGTCTTTTTGTTTACATTGCGGGCTCAAATGTACAAATACACTCCACCAACTTTCTCCTCAGTGCTGGAAGTAGGTTAAATGTTAAATATCTGAGCTGCAGCTCTTAATTTGAGTCACCTGATGTCACTCTGCACGTTATTTATAGATTGCTCTGCAGCAGCAGGACTGAGGCGTTCAGGTTCAGCACTATATAGTCTAATAAATAAAGTCACTCTGCTCACCTTTCACTGTTCTTTGGTTCACCTTTTAAAAAAAGATAAAAATAGATGGAGAGGTAGGAGTTTGTTTAAATAGAAACCTGTGTAAAATGGAGAAGAGCGCCACATTAAACACTTCCCTGGTTTTCAGCACTTCTGTTCTCACAAACAGCTGCAGTGGGAAATCACGCTGAAAGGACTTTGACCTTTTATTTAGTTGTTCTTGAAGTCGCTGTGTGGGAGGAAACATTTCTCTGTGGAAGTGTTTTAATGAATCAGATCATGATGCAGTTAATATGTCACTGACACACACACACACACACATGTATGCACATGTACACACACATGTATACACACACACACACACACACACACACACACACACACACACACACACACATGTATACACACACACAAAGGACTGTGTCGTTGTATTTATTGTAAATGGGATGTTCTCTGATTTTATTTCTGAGCACAATGAAGTTATTAAATATTAATCAGTTTTATTCTAAAAGCATCAGAGTTAGTAAAGTGGATTTATACATGTTTAGTATCATATCAGTGCTGATGTGATATTGTGTAACATTGGATGTATTCAATTTTTCAATAAGTGGTCTGCAGCCTGAATCTGACCCTTTTTTGCAAAATAAATAAATAAGTAAATAAAATACAAAAAATAAATAAATACACACAAAGCTGTCAAAATTTATGTCTGATTTGTCTCAACTGAATGTAATGTTAAATTATACTGTACACATCTGAGATACTTTATTACCTTGTGTTTCATTTTTAATGGACTGTTTATCACCTTTCTGTCCAACCAGGACACTCAAAAAGCTCTTCACACTACAGTGTGTGTCCTCATTTACCCATTCACACAGCACTCTACCAGATCTCCTACAAAGCTAACATGTACAATCACCTGGAGACTAATCAGTGTTAATCGTTCATACACTGATGGGACACACATCAGAGGCATTAGGGGTGAAGTGTCTTGCCCAAGGACACAACAACTGAGACAGCTGGAACAGGGGGATCGAACCAGTGATCTTCTGGTTCCAGGACGACTCCTCTAACCACTCTGCCACAGCCGCCCATGTTAAGCTTGTATACATGTCTTTGTCAGCTTATCCGTGGTAATCATGGCATCCTTAATTACCCTGCTTTACAGCAGCGCTTCTCAAACATTTTGGGTCTGGGGAAACAAATTTTCAGAGATTCCCTCAATAACCCCAGGCTCATTAAAAATAATTTACTGCCATTTTAACCTCTAAATGCCATAGGAATAGTGTTTATTTTATATTTTTTATAAGCATGTTTGTTTTACTGTCCTATTGGTCCCTATGTGTAAAGAAA